AAAATTATTAATTAAATTTTTATAATTTATATTTAAAATAATAAATTCTATAATTTTTTATTTAGATTGTTATTAAATCCTTCAGCTACAACAAATGAATCTATTAAAGATTTTATATAAAAAAAAGGGATTTTTTATAAAGTTTATAATTTAGCTAAGATTTTTAAACCTATTAATGATGCTATTATTAAATTACAAAGTAGAAATATTATATTAGCTGATTGTTATCTTGTATTAATTTCTTTAGAAAATTCAATTTATAAACTTTTTAAAGAAGATTCTAAACAATTTTATAAATATGCTATTAATAAATTTAATTCAAGATTTAATGAATATGATGAATATCTTTTAATATATTTTATTCATCCACTTTATAAAGGTAAGTAAATTTTATTATTTAATTTTAAATATTTTTAATTTTAAAATTTATAAATTATTTAGGTACAGGTATTAAAAAAAAACAAATTTTTAAAAATTGCAACTTTAGCAGCAAATATTTGGCAACAAATGATAAAAATTCCAGAAATTGCAACACAATTAAAAAAATATAAACATGCTAAAGAACAATTAGAAGATATGATTATTTCTTAATTCAGAGAATTTTATTTACAAAAAAACCCATTTAATGCATCATTCTCATTAAATATTAATATAGCCTTAAGTTGGTAGAAAACATGTATAATATCACTATATTTACAATTACTTGGAATTAAACTTTTTTCTATTACTCCACATACAGCAAGTTGTGAAAGAATTTGGTCTATATGTGGATAGATGATAGAAAAAAGAAAAAAATTTATCTGTTAAAAATTTAGAATCTATAGTTAAAATTCATTCTTATTATATTAATAACAAAAAATCTAAATTAAATTTATATAGTAAAGAACATATAGTAGATGAAATTTATCAAGAATTATATAATGCACAAATTGAAGAAGAGGAAGAATATGAAGACAAAAATAATATACAAAATATTAATTTAGATAAATATAATTTAGATAATGATAAAGAAACTGTGTGAGAAAATTTAAATTTATTAGAAATAATTTATTTAGAAAATAATAATTTTGAAGATACAGATAATAATCAAATAATAGAAGATATAAATAAAAATAAAATAACTACTTTTATTCAAGATTTAGAAAATGAAGAAGGTTATAATCCAAGCCAAATACATAGTACAAAAACATTTGATAATAATGATGAAATTTATTATTATTAAAATTAATTAATTATATTTTTATATATATTTAATTTTTTATTATATATTGAGATTTTTTTCTTAAATAATTAAGGTTTTTTTTATCTCAAGTATATAATACAAAATTATTATTCACATTATATTATATAAACTATATTTTATATTTTGTTTTTTTTTTTTTTTTTAATGTTAAAGGTGAGACCATGCTCTTATCTTTATTAGACTTAATGAAAACTTTTTACATA